CTTGCACTTTGTTTATAACGCCCCCTTAAAATTTTGCGTGTAATTAATTATCTTCGCGGAAGTTACTAATATAAATTGTCACAGAGCGTGTTAAATATACATCGACCATTTCACAAATTGAGTAAACGATGATGGCAAAATGAACGTCACTGGTTCGAGGAAAATCAACTCGTTGGGCCACTTTTTTCGAGGCATCGTGGAATACGACATTAAAAAGGGCATAATGCAATTGGAGGATCCAAGCATTTCAGTGATAGTGAAAGATCATTAAGCACAACATACCCGGATCCTTCGAACACATTTGCAATGCTTTTCCTCATTGTGACCCAGGAAGCTGAGCACAAGCAAAACAAATGAATGGGTGAATATCGAATGAATGAATGGATGAGTGGATTGTTAACGGGCTAACAGTGAGGCGAAAAGCTTCAGAATATCAGAGGTAGTTGTTGAGGACCGCTGGACCAGAGGTGGGGAAGAAGAAGGAATTTAGAACAGATGTTCCACGATTTGCGCCTTTTCCTCAACACCGACTTCTAGTGTTGACGTTGATGATGATTACGGATAGTGATGGTGATAATGCTGACGCTTCTGCTCCACCACTCCAATAACAACAACAAACTCCTTCCTCCAAGACTGATTTTTATACTGCCTTTTCATAAAAATAGCGCCCTTTCCGTAAGCGTTAGCTAGTACTTTCGCCCAGCAGCATCGATGACATATAGAAAGTGGGAGGCCAGCCGATCCTGATCTTCTCTTGGAAGTGCAAAGTTCGTTGGAAGGATGGAAAGGTGCGGTAAAGGAGGCGAACAGGCGGGGGAGGGGAAGGGATGCATTTGTTTGTGCTCCTCATATACAGCAAGCAGTCCTGAAAATCAGCCAAGAAATACTGGTGACGTTGGAACACAAACCCGCTCAGCAAAACAACCATGCGGTGCGATCATCCGTTTTTGCGCTAAACTTGAAGCACTCAGATCGTTAATAGTATGAATGATTCTTGCGTTACTGTCTAAGGCTTGGCATTAATTATTTTAGCTGTGCTTTGGCCTTTTCCTGCTTGAAGGAAGAAAAAGACGTTAGCTAGGATTGTAGTTTTGCATTGTGGAGCCGCGCAAGCCCCCAGCGTGCACAGTTGTCAGTTTTGCATGAGGAGAAATGAATGGTTTCTGGTGAAATGAATAGTTTCTGGTGATCTGGTAATCGGTCTGCCGAAAAGTGCATATTTGACAATGAACAGTACTTCAGGAGAGAAAGATTGCAAAATCAGAACCCAGGCTGGAACGCACCAGGCAAGCCAGTACGATCAAGTGTTTTTGCGCCAAACTTGAAGTAATTAGGTTAACTGCATGAACGATTGTTCCATCGCACCTGCCTTGTGCGCTCAATAACGTAAATTAGTATAAATTTTGCATAAACGGAAATAAACAATTTCTGTTTCGCAGTCATTTTTTGAAAATGACCCAGCTGTTCAATGGGCGGTTTTCATTCCAAAAATTCAAGTGCCCTTACACGAGAACCACAAGTACGTGAAGGCTGAATTTGAAACCTTTAAGTTGTATTTGGAATGGGAATATTCTCCTAAAATTTCAGCCTTCCAGCTTATCTGGCTCCCGAGCTAGCAATTTTCCCGCCAAAACTTTCACAGGGCATATGGGACGTGGGAGTATATCTGGGGGTTGGATTTGGGAACATCCCTTTAAAATTTCAGCCCCCCCCCCCCTCCCAGCTTCCCTGGTTCCTAAGTTAGCGATTTTCGCGCCAGAAAACCTCACAGGGCCGTACGCGGAAACCAAGCATCCCCGGGGGCTGAATTTGAAATCTTTGAGTTCTGTGTGGGCGGGGAACATAATCTTGAAGTTTAAGCTTTCCAGCTTTTACCACTACCGAGTTAGCGATCTTCCTGCCAAAATTTTCGCCCTATCGTACGCGGAGCCCAGATTTGCGTGAGGGTTGGTATCACGGTCCTGGGGTGGAATTTGGCGGGGGAACCCACTTGCAAAATCTTGGCGCCGGAGCTTACTTGATTGCCGAGTTGAAATACCCGGGCAAGCGAATACACACACACACA